AAGATTAAGAATAAGTTATTTCACTCTAATAATAACACAAAATACAAGTTATATCGTAACTATCTTGTAACTTTAATTCGGTCAAGTAAAAAGTTGTATTACTGTGATTATTTTAACTCATATTACAATAACATGAGTAAAAAGTGGGAAGGAATAAGGGAAATACTAGGGCGCAATAGCAAAATTAAAAAGAATATCAATGCTGTTCGACAAGATTCAAATGCCCAATTAACATTTTATCCCACAAAGATATCAAACATAATAAACCATCATTTCGCTTCTTGTGGTCAACGATTAGCTGCAAAAATACCTCATTCTGAAAAACATTATTCAACATATCTTCCTGACCAAATCATGTACAATTCCGCCAATGCTTCCCAACAACAAGGGTCTTTTGCTTTTATCCCAGTAACAGCTCGAGATATTGAACTTGAAATTATAACATTACTTGCCAAAAAGGCTGAAGGCCTGTATTCGTGCCCTTATCGAATCTTAAAAAGTGCCCAACATGTTATTAGCAAGCCTTTAGCAGATATCTTTAATTGCTCCATTGAAACTGGAATATATCCTAGCAAACTTAAAATTGCAAAAATTATACCAATTTACAAATCTGATGACGAAACTGACCCAAATAATTATCGCCCAATATCTCTTCTATCCTCATTCAATAAAATTTTTGAAAAAATTATGTATAAACGCTTACAAAGTTATCTAGTTAAAAAAGAATTTTTCTGTGATTCACAATATGGTTTTCGTAAACAACATTCAACCCAACATGCTATTCTTGATATTATTAACAAAATTCAAGATAATATGGATAGAAAAATGTACTCCTGTGGTATACCTGTATTTATTGACCTAAAAAAGGCATTTGACACGGTTGATCATGATATTCTGTTGGGTAAGCTAGATTATTATGGTATTAGAGGAGTAATCAATAACTGGTTTTCTTCTTATCTTAAAAATCGCACGCAAACTACTTCAGTTGGAAACTGTGTATCTAACAAAGAAACTACCTTGTGTGGAGTACCCCAAGGCTCAGTTCTTGGACCTCTACTCTTTTTGATCTACATCAATGATATTTGTGAATCATCTGAGATTTTCAAATTCTTTCTTTTTGCTGATGATACTAACTTATTGTATGCTGATAGAGACCTAAAAATGCTTGAAACAGTTGTCAACGCTGAATTAAAGAAAGTCTGTGAATGGCTTGCAATAAACAAACTCACCCTTAATATAAGTAAATCAAATTTTGTAATTTTTCGACCATATCAGAAGTCATTGAATTTCCAGCCTGTAATTAAAATGTTTGATAATGATACCAAAGAATATACACCACTTGAATGCAAAGAATATGTTAAGTACCTTGGAATTATTATTGACTGTAACTTGAACTGGAAGCATCACATAAATTATATTACATTAAAGATTAGCAAAACTGTAGGAATCATTTCTAAATTGAGATATTACATCCCAAATCATACCTTGTTAGATATTTATAGGTCATTGATTTCACCATATTTAACATATGGTGTAGTTGCTTGGGGAAATGCTGCTAAAGTTCATATTCAAAAACTTCTTGTTTTACAAAAGCGTGCATTACGACTCATGAATTTTAAATCATTTCAAGATCACGCAATTCCTCTATTCCTTTCTACCTACATTCTTCCTGTAACTATGATCTATGTTAAAGAATCTGCTTACATGCTCTACGATATATTAAAAGGGGATGCGCCTGAAGCACTGCATAAATTATTTACCAAAACGTCTAATTATCATAACTATGATACAAGAATGGTTTCAAAAGATAACATATATCAATTCTTCTCGTCTGGAATTACAAAAGCGTTCATTTTCCAGAGTCGGTACTTTAATTTGGAATAGCATTGATCTCAATCTTCGCTCATCTCGTAAACAGACTTTTAAATCTAAAATACATCAAGCTCTTTTAACCATACTTCAAGATCAAAATGACTATGTTGACGTACCCATGATAATTGAAATGCTGCCCAATGTAACCGCGATATAATTTTCAGCTCATCATAACTTTCTAATTGCTTTCAAAAAGAATATATTTGTGTCATGAATAATATTTTTCATTTAAAAATTATCATAGCCAATCGGAATCTAAACTCTCGTTCTGTAAATAATTCATTTTACTTCTTCTCAATATAAATCAGTTGTATATATATAATATTATTTAATTAGATTCATTTCCTGCCGCGATTAGCTTGCTATTGCAGGATTTGAATCTTGTATTTTGTCATGTGTATTATTCAAATAAAGTTGTATTGTATTGTATTGTAATAACAAATTAAGTCTTCCGACCAGTCATGCCGCATTTTACCACAGGGCAAACTCGCAAACAAGGCAACAAATGGCATGAACCTCGTCATACATCCATTAATAAAATTGCGTATTTGCGTATAGATTATATATAGGAGTTTATTTAGGCATTTCTTGGTCAAATGTGTGCTCGTAATAATCTATATAGTGTACATTATGAATGCTAAGAAATGAAATACGTTCCACTTTTACGAGTCTTCTTAATTCAATAATTCCTCATTCGAATAAGTTAATGCATGGCAAAATCATGCACGACTATATATATAAATGTAATCGATTTCAAAACTCGATTTCTTATATACTGTATATACAGTTCATCACAGTATTATCACTTCGACTCTGTCTCGATCCGTACAATATTTGCGTCATGCGGTTGCGCTGTCATACCATAGAAAATTTAGCTACTGTATTAGATCAATACTTGGCAATTAAAGATTGAGGAGACACCTATAGTTCCGAGTATATGTACACTATGTTTGTTAAACATTTGATATAACGCATTTATTGAAACGTTTTGGGCATATTAATTTATGGCCGTATTAAAAACGGTGATCCGATATACTATTATAACTTACTTGATTGCGCTTAATTTGCGCTATACTATTTGCCAGAATTTCGCTGACGTAGCTATACCCCTCCTGGTAGTTTCACCAACATTGTATTCTTGAAATGCATATCCAAGCCAACAAACTCCAGTAAACCCAGCAAGAACAACGAAGAACATAATAAAACTGAAGTGCTGCGTTATAAAAGCACGCAAATTTGTCTTCCCACACTAAATGTGAGCTGCATTTGTATATAGCTCGAGGCTTGGCCGTCAGCCTGTCTACATGGCCAAGATGCGCAAACCTGATTAGATATCAGATAAAATTGGCAGAAAAGACGTTCAGAGTTCGATTCATGTAGAAATGAATAATATAAAAGTATAGACCTTTAAGACAGCTTTTTCTATATATTGACTATAACCACGCATCAACTAATGTTTCAGAAATTGCACTTTTTCAAATGTCACTCAATTTGAAATGACAAATTTAATACAGACTACAGTAGTGAATATAGTGTATAATTCTTTACAGACTCGTAATATACGATCGTAAAGTTAATATCATTAAACATGCATCGACATTCATTAAATTAATACATTTTATGAATTATTTATGATGTATTATAATCCACTAAAACTGTTCATGAATAGTTCATGGTAGTTCACAAAGTGAAATCATGAACGTTCATGAATCAGTACAAATTCATCAAAATTTCATGATATGTTCATCAAGTAAATTCTATGAATTTTTCATGAATAATCAGTTCATGAAATATTCAAATGAACATTCATGAACATTCATGAACTATTCTGTTCAAAACAAAAAGTTCATGAACTGATTGGCCATTCATCAACTGTTCATGAACAGTTCATGAAGAGCATTCAAGAACCCTTCATGAACACTTGTTCATGAACCATAGGTAAAATATTTGATGAGCGGAGCATGAACTGTTCATGAATTTACATGAACGTTCATGAATGCACCATCAAAGTTCATGACTTCATGAACAAATTTTCGCCGGGGACTGTTGCGCCACTGTCTTCAACACATATGACAAAAAGGTTTTTCCTTTCTTACACAAGTTCTAGCTATGAGGTAAAATGCATCCAAAATGAGTTATTATATTACCAATTTTTGTGTGACACCTGTGTTGACAAAAACATTGCTTGCTTAATTATTAAGTTCACTATTATTTACAAAAGCATGTTTTCCACTAGACTTTGTGTACACATGCCTGACTGGAAAGTTTGGAAATTGCACGCTGGAGATTTCTAAAATTTAATAGTAATATATAGAAAGCATCAAAATAGTATATATAGAAAGCCTCACTATATCTCCGCTGTGCAATACAAACTTTCCACACTGATACACCTGCAAACTAGCCTAGTGGTAGACAGGCTATTAGGGGGATGTTCATATGCAGGTAGCCATCCCAGCTCATTTTACTGAGATCTAAAGTTACTATGTATATAATTTATACTAATATTATCTTGTGTTTATATATGGGATCTTGGAACCGGGGTAGCCTGCCTAGGCAAGATCTCGCTCAACCTCATTCCCAGGGCTTTCGTATGA